TAAGAATGTTCCAAACAGTTGTTTTGGCCATGCCTAATGTTTTTGCTATCTCTCTGATGGGTTTGTTTTGTTTTTTCAGCCTAATGATGGCTTGCTTCACTGATAGTGACAGCTCCTTGGATCTCATCTTCAGAGTTGACAGCAAGAGATTCCAAATGCAAATAGCACACTTGAAATGAACTCTGGACCTTTTATCTGCTCATTGTAATTGGGATAATGAGGGAATAACATACACCTGGCCATGGAACAGCTGAAAAGCCAATTGTCCCATTACTTTTGGTCCCTTAACAAGTGGGAGGCACATATGCAAACTGTTGTTCACCTGATTTGGATGTAAATACCCTCAAATTAAAGCTGACAGTCTGCAGTTAAAGCACATCTTATTCGTTTCATTTCAAATCCATTGTGGTGGTGTATAGAGCCAAAAATGTTAGAATTGTGTCGATGTCCCAATATTTATGGACCTGACTGTATATATACCAATTCAAAACTTTGACTTTATTGTCTCTTTATACATCCTTTGGATCTTTGCAGTTATAGTCTGTTAAATGTATAATGTCCTCAGTTCACTATGTAATGTTTATTTTTTCACCTATACTTGTTCTTGTCTTTTATAAAATGAAATACAATTTAAACATAAATTGATGAAGGGTGAATTCTTGTTGTAGATATAAAGCATTTTTGCAAATCTTTGCTCTTTACACTCCATTACTTGATAAGCCTACGGCACTATTTTAGAATTTAAGAGCTTATATAACACATGCAAAAATATGCTTACTGTGACTTTTGCTTATACAAATTTCACAAAGAAGTGGTCATGCTTGTGATATCGTAAGTGATTTCTTATTAGTCTATGTTTTTATCGCTCTCTGATGTTATACATCTGTCTGTTGATACCTTTTTATACTTGTCACAATGATTTCAAGGATAGGCAACATCCTGTGAATCTCCTCTGTTCTCTCAATACCCATTCGGAGCACTGGGAATACATCTCTTTTATGGGTGTGCAATGGGGTTAAAAGACCAAGCTCACAAATACATCCTATTTTACTTTTTTATGCAGGGGCCATTTAGGAATTCTACAGTAAAGATAGAAAGGCTCAGTTGAAATCAATTGACTTGCTCTGAACCAAAGGGATAGATTTTACTCCTTAATCTGAATTAGCATGACAAGACAAAGACTGGAGCTGTTGTTAACAGCTTGAAGATTGTTTAAGATGGTTATAAATTTTGTTTCTATACCTCTTGTGTTAAAGGAGCCATTATGCTAACTTGCTATGTCAAACTGATATATATATATATATATATATATATATATATATATATATATATATATATGTAAAATGTACAATAGGTGCTATGTAAAGGCGGATTATTTATAGATGTCATGCTTTTGAGGTGCTGTCTGTGTTTTAACCAAGTTTCTGCTTGGGTTAGTGAGCATAAAGCACTTTTCTTCATCTTAGCACCTCAATGGCCAGTAGAATTTGGACAGATTGTGAGGAGTGCAGTACAAGGACCCTGAGAAAAAGGGATTGTCTTCAGGCCTGACCCAGCCTTTGTTCAAAGTGGTCACCTGCCATACGGCACAAAGGATGGGCTCCTGTCCTCTCTGATGTGACCTTTGTGGAGCTGTTCTGATTGGTCTTGATCTTGTTTAAGTTGTTTTTGGTCAAAAAGAAAGAAAACGGAACGGCCTGGGAAAGAAAAAGAAAACCCACACACAATGTCACACTCAGTAACAGGAATGAAAAACAATAAACAAAAAAAAAAAAATAAGAATAGTTCCCAGTCTCCTTGAAACAAGGATAAAGGAGGAGGAGGCAGTTAATGAAGGGTAAGTGATGGAACAAAATTTAAGATGCAAAGAAGTGACACAGTGCAAGTTTCTATGATGGCGTGAGGCCAAGGACACAATTAATGAAGACCATATGTTCTAAATTTACACAGCACTTAACTCACTCTGTCTATAATTCTGTCCCTTTCAGTGAGATTTTTCCAGTCTACAGGGATCCCAACTATAGGGACCTTTTGCTGTTCTACTTTCAAAGAATAAGGCAAACATAAGCACAGGTTTAATTGGTTGGCAAATATTTCTAGGCTTACAGTTAGATTCAACAACATTTTCCAAAGTGGTAATCTTTGAAAGCCATGAGTAAAACAATTAAAAAGCTAATTTGCAACATTTTGAATTTTTTTTTTAGATTGAGTATGTTGTGCACACTGTATTTCCACCAATTTGCTTCCAGCACACATTCTATAAACAATTACAAGAAACTGACCGCAGTTATTGAACTGAAATGTCTTTAGGAAACATATCAGGAAAAAGATGGCATTTGTGCTGAAAGAAAAACTGGTTTGGGCACCCAAGTCAAAAATTCCAGTGTAACTTCCCCCATTCATCCTAGTTGAGAAGAATGGAGCTGGCATGTCCCACCTGGCACAGGGGGCAGAAATGATAGCTGCTAGCCATAGCCCTATGACTATCATCTTTTGGTCCATGAAAGCTATGCACGATGGAGGCATGGCAAGCTATTACAACATGGTTAAACTGTATTTGATTTAGTGATAATGACCAAGATGAAGCAGAGCTGGGCTTTCATTAAGATAATGATTGCCAAAATGTGTTGCTCAATTTGGAAATTAAACAAACTTAGAACTCATCAAAACTGGAAATTTTATTCTGCAATTTCCCTTTTATAAACAAACTAAAAATTATGATTCTGGTACAAATATTTTTTAAATGCACTGCTACATAAAAAAAATGCAAAATGTCAAAGGTTACATACGTACAGTAAAATGGCAAATAATAAGAAAAAGAAGACAAAAAGATTAATAAACACGTATCAGGGGTAAACTAGGGGTAAATACTGTATTGTACGTATTTTCACAAATAATAGGAATTTATGATTGTGAGCTACAGTATCCCTGATACAGATCAGCAAAGTTGTCACACTGACAGTGGAGGCCCAGTGATTACAATGCAAGTGACGATCTGCCAGTGTAAACAGCAGGGCTGGACTGGCATTTGTCATTTGACAGCCCAATCTTGCACAATTGGGCTGGTGCAGAGCCAGAAGAGGTGACTGTCTCTGTTGCCCCTGTCTTAGCCCTACCCTTCACAGAGACCTTCATTACTGACCTATATTCTGAAAATTCTTTCTTTCTTTAAAACGAAGGGTCACTGACTCAGACCAAGCAAGTGAATAGGTACTTAAAGTGGAGTTCCACTCACTCTGTAAAAAAATAAAAGTCAGCAGCTACAAAAACTGTAGCTGCTGACTTTTAAAAAACAGCCACTCACCTGTCCCATGATCCCGCGGTACCCCTGCCACAGCCCTTTTTATCAGCCGTCCTGTATTCCAGGCGTTGGCATCTTCAGTGTGGGCACCCGACTGTGACAGCTTGCGGCTTCACAGCTGGGTGCCTACTGCGCATGCGCTTCCTGAATGACCCTGTCATCTTCTGGGACCTGTCACATGTCCCACTAGACTTCGGGAAGGAGGGTAGGAGGACAACTTCCACTTTTGATCGCCTATGCGATCGCAGCGGAAGTGGGAGCGGGTACCTGTCAAATTTGGGTACCCGCTCCCCCCCACTCCCCAAAGGTGCCAATCCTTAATGGGGATGGGGACCAATCTTTAAAGCGGAACTTCCCCTTTTGGGTGGAACTCCGCTTTAAGATTTTTCTCTGACTTTCCTGACCAGCATATTTATTCTGAGTCAGTGTTTTGGACTGTTTTCAAGTTAGTAGGCTGGCAAAAAAGCAAAAAACTAGCATTTTCAGAAGATCAGCAACCGCAGTTTATATTTCTTTTATCACAGACTTACATTAAAATTGCTAACTCTGGTTCACAGTTTCCAATAACTACTAAATTCAGAGATCATTACTAACTGGGTGCTTATTTTTTGTGAGCATACTTTAGTCCCCGTGTTTGCAGCTAGGAAGGAAGTTTTGGGAAACATTAAAATATCTGCAGTTAGGAGATAGGCTGTTAGTTGAAACTCAATTGTCGTCTCGCTGGCAGTGCTGAAAGCTACAGATAAGCTACCCAATTACATTTTAGGCTTAAAACTTGCTCTTTTTGGGGGATATTGATCTACAAATCAACAAAATCAACCGATCAGATACTTAGCTTCCTCCCTGTTCCAGTGATCATTGATGTGCAACCTGTCCTGGCACTATACAGCCTTTGCAAGGAAAACTTCCCAGTCTCCTTTCTAATGTGTACATGTACAGCAGCCCCATTCATTCCTACATGAGAGAGACTTCTAGCATGTCTGGGCTACACAGCAAAGATTGCTGGAGCAGAGAAGACAAGTATTCCACCAGGTGGGCTACACTCAGGGAGCAGAGGGGTTACCTAAACGTGAACGTGAAGTTGTTCTTTAAGGTATAATTAACCACTAGCCTACAGGGCACTTATACCCCCTTCCTGCCCAGGCCAATTTCCAGCTTTCAGCGCTGTTGCACTTTGAATTACAATTGCGCGGTCATGCAACACTGTACCCATATGAAATTTTAATCATTTTTTTTTAGACAGATAGAGCTTTATTTTGGTGATCTTTAATCACCTCTGGGTTTTTTATTTTCTCTTAAACAAATTAAAAACCACTGAAAATTTTGAAAACAAAATGTTTTTTCTTAGTTTTTGTTATAAAATTTTGTAAATAAGTGATTTTTCTCCTTCACTGATGTGCGCTAATGAGGCTGCAGTGATGGGCACTGATAGACTGCACTGATGGACACTGATAGGTGGCACTGATGGGCACTGATGAGAAGACACTGGTAGGTGGCACTGATGGGTATTGACAGGCATCACTGATGGGCACTGAAAGGCAGCACTAATACATGGCACTGATATATGGCACTGTTAGGCGGCACTGACTGGCACTGTTAGGTGGCACTGACTGGCACTGATAGGTGGCACTGATGTACACTGATAGGCGGCACTGACTGGCAATGATAGGTTGCACTGATTGGCAGCACTGATAGGTGGCACTGATTGGCATTGATAGGTGGCACTGACTGGCACTGATGGATGACACTGAAAGGCAGCTCAGATGGGCACTGATATGTGGCATTGATGTGCACTGGTATGCACTGATATGTGGCATTGATGTGGCACTGATAGGCACTGGCACGTGGCACTGATCGACACTGACAGCTGGCACTGATGGACTTTGACAGGTGGCACTGCTGGGGTTACACTGATCATCAGGGCACACTGATCATCAGTGCCTTGATGATCAGTGTACATGTCCCCTCCGTGGAAAGCCGATTACCGGCTCTCCGCTCCTCTCGAGCTGTCAGCGTGACAGCTCGAGAGGAGAGAAATGCTGATAACCGGCATTTCCGTGTTTACATGTGATCAGCTGTGATTGGACACAGCTGATCACATGACCGAGCCGACATCTTCGTCTCTTTCCGTGATCCGCTGTGGGACACAGCGCACCGCCGATCGCCGCCCTGCGTGCTCCCTGAGCCACACATGCGCGGTGAGAATGGGAGGACGTCATATGACGTCCTCTCAGAACGAGAGAACCACCTTGTGTCCGTCATTGGACTATATGGCGGGCGGGAGGTGGTTAAAGGCAAAACTATTTTAGATTTAGATAGAGCAGTGAGGGTAAGAACCACTGTCAGGTTTTTATTGCTGTCTGCTTCTATTTGTCCTGAATACCAATTCTACCAGGAATAAACATGACTGTAAATTGAAAATTTTGAGCTGTTACCAAAACAGGAATAAAGGGGAAAATGTCCCATGGGGATACTTGCTCCCAAAACAGCTGTTTAGTGGGGATTTCCTTCAAACTGTAAAGATATCTTCTCAGCTCCTGTTGAGTCTACATGACAGAATAGGAGAGGAAATCTTGCTTATGAGACACAGATGGCAAAAAACTGATTCTAGAGTACAGTACAGATAAAAAAAGGGTCAGGAAGTAAGATAGGCATAAAGAATGGGGATAGTTTGTTATACACAATCAGTTAGAGTGAATTTTGTAGAAAAGAAATGGGCTATGGGAGTAGAGTAGAATTGAGAGTGGTCCAGAGAACGTTTCTTAAGTAAAGGAAGTATCATACCCCTGACTCATTCACATGGGGGGAGTGGTATCTGGGTGCCCCAACAACCAACAAGAAAAGGCCCTTTTTCTCAACAAGATAGGTGCAACATGCTTTGCCAGGGGGGTACCCCAAGTTTTTAGGGCATGTGGACTGGTATGGCTCAGAAGGGGAGGGGTTAATGCATGTTTGGATAAGGATCTGGTGTGGGTGAGATTGCACAGTTTTTCTTTGCATGGGGCTCCCCCTTACCCTGTTGCCGCCCACCTAATATTACATGAAGTGGAAAATAGGTGGGCTTTAAAGCCCACACGTTACACATATGCTTTGCTGGATGGAGAATGTTTCTGTGTTGATGCTCACTGTGTACTCCCAACACAGAGAGACTGAGCTGTCAAAGACAGCTCTGGTCTGGACTAACGATTGGTAGCCTGCAGGACCAGCTCCTAATCATGTGACCACTGTGACAGTCAGTCACAGTGGTCACATGATCACTGGGATTAAAAATCATACCAGGCTAAAAAAGTCTGGTATAGAATTTAGAGGGGACCTCACACCACTTTTTTTTGTTTTTTTGCGTAGGGTCCTCCTTAAAATATATACCAGACCGGAAGGGCCTGGTATGGATTTGGGGGGAGCTCCCATGGCATTTTTAGAAAACTATCCCCATATTAATACCACCATTATACATTTGGCTCCTGCAAAACAACAGATGTATGACTGTTGGAAGGAGGAGTTAGAGAGATGTAAAAGAACTCACCCAAACTCTACTGCTATAAGAAACAGATGGGAGTGGAGAGGCGTTGCACAGGCTTCAGGGCTTACTTCAGGATATATAGTAATACAGCTGGCAAATCAGTCACTTCTTCATAAATAATCTTTTATAAGGGAATTATAAGATCCATAAAAATGGTAACGCGTTTCAGCGTCACAGCCTTCCTCATATGTACTAATAAAGATTATTCATGAAGAAGTGACCGAGTTGCCGGTTATTTTACTACACATCCAATTAGAGAGACGTGCCTGCAGTAGAGTGAATATATATTGTTGACAGAAGGAAGAATAATGGATTCACTGACAATTTGCTGCTGAATACCTGTCTGAAGATTTGATTTAAGGAATATACCAAATTAAAAAATATTAATTCATTGTGCTTTTTGTGCCTTTTTTAATGGGTGGCATTGACATCTGACTAAAGCTTTTTAGAGTGTGGCAATTCAGAGCCTCTGTGAACATTTTTATCACTGTCTATGTCCCAATTTAGGATATGTCTCTTCACTTGTTGTCTATATGACTGTTGTTAGAAGAAACCTGAAGTGAATGGCCATCTGTTATTATTATTATTATACAGGATTTATATAGCGCCAACAGTTTGCTCAGTGCTTTACAATATAAAGGGAGACAATACAGCAACGATACAGTTCAATACAAGAGGGTTAGGAGGGCCCTGCTCCTTGGAGCTTACAATCTAAGAGGGAGGGGCTGGTCGTACAAAAGGTAATAACTGTGGGGGATGAACTGATAGGAGGAATAGAAAACTCATTTATTAGCTGAAGGCAGGATAGGGTTCCCTGAAGAGATAGGTTTTCAGAGATCACCTAAAGGTGTGCAGAGTAGGTGAGAGTCGGATAGATTGGGGTAGAGCATTTCAGAGGATGAGGGAGGCTCTGGAGAAGTTCTGGAGATGAGCATGGGAGGAGGAGACAAGGGAGCTAGAGAGCAGGAAGTCATGAGAGGAGTGGAGAGGATGATTTGGGTGATATTTGGAGACAGGATTGGTGATGTAATTTGGGGCAGAGTTATAAATGGCTTACAATCTAAGAGGGAGGTTCTGGTGGTACAAAAGGTAATAACAGTGAAGGATGAACTGATAGTAGTAATAGAAGATTCCATTATTAGCTGAAGACAGGATAGGATTGACTGAAAAGATTCACAGAGGAGGTCATGGGAGGGGCGGAGAGGAGATATTTGGAGACAAGATTGGTGATATAATTTGGGGCAGAGTTATGAATGGCTTTATATGTTATTGATAATGTTTTGAAATTGTATTCATTGGGCAAGGGGCAGCCAGTGGAGGGATTGGCAGAGAGGGATGGCAGACATGGAATGGTTGGTAAGGTGGATGAGTCTGGCAGCAGCACTCATGATAGACTGAAGAGGGGATAGCCTGCAATTAGGTAGGCTAATGGAGGAGGGAGTTACAATAGTCAAGGCAAGAGATAACAAGGGAGTGAATAAGTTGCTTAGTGGTTTCAGAGGTTAACAGTGGGCGTATTTTGGAGATGTTGTGGAGATGAAGTCTACAAGACAGTGTTTGGAAAGTGATTAGATTTGGGGCTGAAAAGACAGATGGGAATCTAGGATTATACCTAGTACCCTGGCATGAGGGGAGGGACTGATAGTTGTATTATTGATCTTGATGGAGAAGTCAGGGGAGGGGGCATGGGCTGGAGGGAATAGTATGAGCTCTGTTTTGGAAAGATTTAGTTTGAGGAAGTTAAGTAACATCCATGTCGAGGACCTCCAGGTTAGTAATGCGAGAGAAGACTGAAGGGGCATGGTGAGGAGTAGAAAGATAGATTTGTGTGTCATCAGCATAGAGATGGTACTTAAAGCCATGGGAGTTTATCAAATGACCAAGGGAGGAGGTGTAGCTGGAGAAGAGAAAGGGTCCAAGGACAGAACCTTGAGGGACCCCTACAGAAAGAGGAAGTGGAGAGGAGGAGACAGAGTTATAGGTAATGCTGAAGGAGTGCTGCAGTAGGTAGGAGGAGAACCAGGAGAGAGCAGAGTCTCGCAGGCCAAGAGAGTGGTGTTTTTTTTTGAGGAGGGGATGGTCAATAGTTTTAAAAGCTGAAGAGTGGTCAAGTAGTAAGAGTATGGAGTAGTGGCCATTGGTTTTAGCAGTTAGTAAATCATTTTTTAGTAGGACAGTTTCAGTGGAGTGTAGTGAGCGAAAGCCAGACTGTAAAGGGTCAAGATGGTTGTTGTCAGTGAGGTAGGTGCTCAGGCGATTGTAGACTAAGCGTTTTAAGACTTTAGAGGTAAATGAGAGCAGGGAGATGGGTCTTAAGTTGTTCAGGTTGGTGCAGTCCAGCGAGGGCTTTTTAAGTATGGGAGTGAGCTGTGCATGCTTTAGTGGGGTGGGGAAGGCACCGTTAGAGAGGGAGAAATTGAAGATGTGAGTGAGGGAGCAAAGGACAGCAGAAGAGGGTGACTGTAGTAGTCGAGAGGGGACAGGATCCAGGGGGGGTGAACGTGGTGACACGGGTTTCTGAGAAAACGTTAGTGACCTCTTCAGTAGTAGCAAGGTCAAAAGAGGAAAGTGTTGAGGGAGGTTTAGTATATGGTATGATAAGTGGGATAGATGTCTGTGTAGTGGAGATGCCCCTACGAATTGCATCAATCTTGTTTTTGACGTGATTTGCAATCTCGTAAGCAATGAGTGAGTTTCTGGGTGGAGGTGGAGGTGGAGAAAGTAGAGAGTTAAAAGTAGAGAAGAGATGATGAGGACTGGATGACAAGGTATTAATAAGAGTGATAAAGTAGGCTTTTTTGGCAGCATGGAGGGTGGAATTGTATGTTAAGAAAGCAGATTTATATAGGGTGAATGCTTGCCGAGATTTGGTTTTACACCACAATCGCTTCAGTGCATGACTGGAGCGATTGTGGCCTGATACTTTGTGTAGTTAGAGGAGCAAGTGAGTCTAGTGTGGATAAAAGCGAACTGTTGTAGACAGCAGTGACCAGGTCAGGGAAGGACAGGGGAGAGATTCTGTCATAGAGGCGGTCAGTTGCAGAGTGGAAAAGAAAAGGATTTAAGTTTTGAAGGCTTCTGTGGGTAATTATTTGCTGCTTGGAGGGATGAGTGTTTGAAGATGAGCACACTGTGAAGGTGATGAGATTGTGATCAGAGAGAGGAAAGGGGGTGTTTGTGACGTTGTAGGGAGTGCAAAGATGGGAGAAAACAAGGTCTAATGTTTTCCCATCAGAGTGAGTGGAGGACTGTGTCCATTTGGTTAGGTTGAAGAGTTGGGATGTAGCTGGGTTGTTCACATTAATGGGGATGTTAAAATCTCCAAGAATGATAGTGGGTATTTCAGAGGAGAGAAAGCAGGGTAGCGAAGCAGAGACGTCATCAGGAAAGGGCGACCCTGGTCCAGGAGGCCGGTGGATCACTGCAATCCTCAGAGGAAAGGGAGAAAACAGCCAAATGCAGTGAGTCTCAATAGAAGAGAAGGATAGAGAGGGAGGGTTAGGGAGAACTTGAAAGTGCTCAGTGGGGATAGAAGCAAACCAACTTCACCTCCTTTCCGACCACTGGGTCTGGGT